GACGATAACACAGTGGAAGTATTTAGGGGTGCATGACATCATTTGGGTTAAAACAGACACGAGTGACAAAAACTTTTTTTTTTAAACCCAATATCAGTAAACAATGTGCGAATAAATGATGGGCAGCAGAATCTGCATTGGCTTTCCATCGTTTAGATTACAAGAATGTATCACTGCTGCTGCGCTACTACAACAAACACACACACTATTGGGTTATTAAGCATGTTTAACAGTGGTGGTTTATAAGCTTTGGCACAGGGTCAAGGCCAATGCATTCCGATAACTATAAAGTTCGAAACCCGGGTCGGGGTACAAATGTATGTCGGGTTTTTTTCTTCTTCTTCTTCAAAAATCTTCAATTAGAAACATTTATATAGCGGCTTATTTCCAAGGCGTCATCGGTCACGATCATCATGGGTCACGATCTTATTCACTGCTGGATGAAGGCCTCCACAACCCGTTACACCATCTCTCACGGATTTGTTTTTATCGTGAGTGATTGAAGGGTTTCTGTTGTTTGCCGTTGTTAAATTGCACACGCACATGTGGATGAATATACCAGACTTCTTTGCCTTCGTGTGGACATCTAAAAGTATCCGTAGTACGGCCAAGTACTGTACTCAGTTAAGGCTGAGTGGACCTAAGTCGCTACCAGGCGGGTTTAAGATATGGTATATTTGTGAACGATGTGCATGACGGACGAAAGTTAACATCTTACACACACACCCACCACCCTTAGCAGCCAGACATTTAAGACAATTCAATCTAAACACTCTCAAGAGTATCAACTACCTGTAAAAAGGCATAGCCATTCCTCTCTCTCTCTCTCCACATTACACTGGCAAACTAAAATAACGCGTCCGTCTCTAAAGACTACGGATCATGTCCGTGACAATGGATCGCTGTTTGAATGGCGCGCCTTTGAATAATAATAACAATGGTAATAACGCATGACAATCGGCCCTTTGTAAGTTAATACACGTGCTGCATGAAGGCCTCCTCCTCATGCCGTGTCTGTGATGGGGGGGCTTGCTTGACCATACTTCACCACGCTGGTCAATGTGACGGGTAAGACCCCCCCCAACACCACCACCAACACCAATACCCCCATGATGATCACACCACCGACTACTAAGACACAACTCTGAAACACGTTACTACATATTATTGGTTCTTTCGGTAGAAGTCACGTAGAAGGGAAACAATGAAATAAAAATATTATTTTACAGAACCGAGAATATTAATCCCTGCAGTCACGAAAGCTTTAAATCTAAACGTTACTACATCTTTAATCAGGGTAGGGGGGGATGACACACACGACGAATACTCAACACCAGACTTGACACCGGCGAATCGGTGCACCGCCGAATACTACTTACAGACCTAATAACGCTTAATAAATACATTCTTACAGACCTAATAACGCTTAATAAATATTCTTACACACCTAATAACGCTTAATAAATACATTCTTGCGGACAGCCGACCGATCAAATCCTACAGGCGCAACGTTGAATACGAACAGCACATTCTTTAACTCAACACAATTGATATTTAAGGTAGGTAGGGAGAGACGCTACGACGAATCGCACACATATACTGTTGCTACTTCGTCGCGGAGTAACAACAACAAGCCACGAATACCACCAACTGGTACACACTGGAAACAGGAACAATGAATGGTGTGTTACATTCACTCACCGCGCACTCAACTCGTGAACACCGCTTCTTGTTGCTGCTTGTTCAACCCGCACGGCGTGGAAGCAGCCTTAAGTTGCCCTTGGATAAGCGCTTGCAGCTACTACTACTTACAGCCACCACCACCACCAGCGATGCTCAATACGATTGTCCAGCCAACACTCAACGCAGCCAATGCAAAAAGCCACTCGACCCCCTTTAGCCGTGGCTCCGTCTCTGCTGCTCCTCCTCCTCCCCCTGCTGCCTCCCTCCCCGTGGTCTCCTCCCTCCCTGTCCGTGGTCTCCTCCCTCCCTGTCCAAGGTCTTCTCCCTCCCTCCCCGTGGTCTCATCCCTCCCTCCCTGCTCGTGGTCTCCTCCCTCCCCGTCCGTGGTCTCCTCCCTCCCCGTGGTCTCCTCCCTCCCCGTGGTCTCCTCCCTCCCCGTGGTCTCCTCCCTTCCCGTGGTCTCCTCCCTTCCCGTGGTCTCCTCCCTCCCTGTCCGTGGTCTCCTCCCTCCCTCCCGGTGGTCTCCTCCCTCCCTGTCCATGGTCTCCTCCCTGTCCGTGGTCTCCTCCCTCCCTTTCCGTGGTCTCCTCCCTCCCTTCCCGTGGTCTCCTCCCTCCCTTCCCGTGGTCTCCTCCCTCCCTTCCCGTGGTCTCCTCCCTCCCTTCCCGTGGTCTCCTCCCTCCCTCCCCGTGGTCTCCTCCCTTCCCGTGGTCTCCTCCCTCCCTTCCCGTGGTCTCCTCCCTCCCTTCCCGTGGTCTCCTCCCTCCCTTCCCGTGGTCTCCTCCCTCCCTTCCCGTGGTCTCCTCCCTGCCCTCCCGTGGTCTCCTCCCAACCCCGGCGACGGCAACAGCGAGCCCAGGGGGTGGCTCGGAGCGATTCCTCGACTCACCACCCGCCACCACCCATCCGCCTTGGCAACGTCGTCGCGATACGGGCACGGGCAGGGCGATTCGATTCGTTGCCATTCGCGTGCCGCTTGTTTTACATTGCTAATACAAGTGGAGGTTGTTGTTGTTGTTGTTTGTGGGTTAGATCGCCTAAATGTGTAGTTAAACCACCACCACCACCACCCACCCGACACAGCCAATTATCACGGGGTTGTCACGTAAACAAAACGTGGCAATTAATTTACTACTTCAGTAAAAATGTGTAAACCCACATTCGATTTGAGTACGACGTTTTTCGCTGGTGGTTTGCAATCAACTTCACGTGATTTGTCAGAACACTTGGACATAGTTACAGCTGTACACTATGGTGCTCCCATTTGCAATCTACGCCTCGTGGAGGCTAAATGGGAAGTGGGAATTCAAAGGCAGCATTTGCCGAATCGATAATTGGTGACTATGCTCTGCAGATGAGTTGTCCAACAAGGACGAACCCGTCTCGCTGTCTCATCGCTGCCTGTGTCAGTCGGGACACGTTTGATGAAAATGTATTTTGATGCTGACCTGTGGTCAAGGGTACACCACAAAGCACTTTAAGGAATTGTTGATGGTTATTGTATAGTGCACAACGGCAGAGTGCTTACGCCTCTCTCTCTCTTGGGTGTTGTTTGCAACTTCAGAGACCGCGTGTGGCTTCAGAAATATTTCTCTGCTCGCTAACATTGCTTCCAATGCACTCACCATTGCAATGCTAATAATCATGTAAAGCGACATTTAATCAATAGCCCGCCAAGGAATATTAAGTTGATGCCGACGAGTTAATAATTCTGAACGATCTATATCCGGACCTGAAATGTTTGTTAGCTTTGTTGCTCTATTCTTGGTTCTTTCGGTAAAGTCGCGTAGAAGGCAAAATAATAAATTCATACAAATAAAACAATAAAATTCTCACGACGTTTCGATTTCAACACAAGCAATCATCAGGTGTGAACTTTTATTGGTTTTCACACCTGCTGATGCTTGTGTTGCAATCGAAACGTCGTGATAATTTTAGTTTTATTTGTATTATTGTATTTCCCCTGCAGTCACGAAAGCTTTTAAATCGAAGCTTATACTAAACTTCGCCTTTGATATACACCGTAACCGTGCGCCCTTGTTAGGGCAACGCAGTGCCACAATAAGCAACACGTGTGCCGACACGACGGAGCGACTGCCGACATCGTACGGGAGGGCTCGCTGCATTTGCGACACTGCAAGATCGCGAGGTGGCCAGAAGCTTTCATCCAGCGGTGGATAGACCTCGGCGGGTTGGTGGCGGGGGTGACCAAGTACAGTACAGTCCCTGCAGGCGTGTGAAGATTCGCGGGTTTTTAAAGAATGCACGCGTAAAGTGGTTCGTGCCCAAGAATCGGTTTGTTTGCTACGCGTACAAAAAGAGTCTTGCGGAGGATTTCGTTGATGGGATGAATTGAAGAAGAGTAAACACGGCGGGGAAAGTTAAGAGAAAGCGGGTAATCGATTCCCAAGTCGAGGTGTGACGCGGAATATTGAATATCGACTCTTGGGAGGCTCGAGTGAAGATGCCAGCCAGTTCGATGGTTATTTACGTCTCGGCGATAAATCGTGGCAATCGCGCGCACGATTCGATCACAGGATCGATTACCTGCAGCACTTTTATACCGTACGCGTGGATATGTAGTGGCGTAAGACGTGCCGTACAAAACGTCGGCAACGTTTGTCATTGATGTAGGCACGATACTTAAAGTACGAATAGCATCGCTGATGATGGATTAAAGCATTGCAACACCCCCCGCCCCGCTGGGCGCCACACCATGCGGCACGAGCGATCGCCATCTTGCGTCGGGGTCCGCCTCCACATTTCCGCGTCATCAAAACGCAACGCTTCCGCTGAGACCGCCCCCCCCATGTAAGATGGCCACCATGGATTCGGCTTGTTCATGGAGCGGCCGCCATCTTACGTAGGGAGTCGCCTCACTCCACAAACTCGCGTCATCAAAATGCAACTCGTCCGCCGAGGACCCCCCTCCCAAACCCTTACGTAAGATGGCCACCATGGGGGAGCGGTCGGTCTCTTTAGTGACGTCAAGCCAGTTAGAGGTGGGCGAGGCACGTGAGTACCCAATGTGACTCCAGCAGACAACCACGGTTTTGAACCAATCACAGTACCGTGTCAACCAATACGGTTTAACCCGTCTTGCCTTGCGATGGGACTTTGTAGGATGAACGTTGAGCATTTATAAGGGCACGGGTAGACCAATAAGGTTTACATTAGTCTGCAATAAAGGTAGGCACTGATAAGCGGTTGACGGGTATGAATCACGGTGCAAGCGAAAGTTTTAGCAGCTCTGCTCACCTGACACCATTGCGGTTGGACGAACCGGAGTTTAAGCTTGCGCATTGAAAAAAAACACGTTTCAGGTTCTGCATGGTAGCTTTTATTGTACTGATAGATTGTTAAAGGTGCAGTACAGTATTATTTGATTCGGTGCCACGAGTTTAGAACAGAACTCTAGCCACCGCTAGTGGCGGTGACATCAATACGGTGCTTGAACTGGGATGTGCACCTTGGGGTAGAGTCACGTAAAGTAACCCAAGCTGGCAGGCCATGGGATAGACCCAGGTGAATGTGCAAGCACAACTATGTGTTAAACCACCGCACTTCGTTTATTCCGCTAGATTTATTCCTCTACCACACCTCCCCTCAACCAAATAAGGTTTTTATTAACTTAAGGTGGTAACAATATCAGCTTTGGCCCATTAATTCAAAACCGTTGGGAGGGCCTAGTTCTACTGCAAATTCATGACACGTTTTGGCTACAATGCAAGAGCATAAATCATCAGGTAAATCCATTGGGCACGCTTACTTTTAAAAACATACCACGCGTAGCAAATTAATGATCACATGCACAGTTGTTTTAAAACTTCCTTTATTGGGGCATTACACAGCAGGATGAGTAGCTGTTACTTTAGGAACACAAATTTCTTCACATCCGAGTGTCGAGTTGTTGGATGGTCCCCATCTTCATCAAGTTTCCTGAAAAATAAAACATGATTTTAGATGGGATGCTGTAATAGAACAGCTTTGATACTACATAACATGTTTAATAAACTTATATTAAATATGGGTCAAACGTCAACTGAAAACATTTTAATAATCCAGGTGAACACAATTTGTACACGGCCGTCTGGAGTGAATATTAAATAAATTGTAAATTCACTTTCACTAGTCTACTGAAGCATGGCCATACAACCCCCTCCGACATGTTTTCAAGAGACCTTTTTCTTGCAGTAGATCGTTTTAAATGCATATTTACTTAACGTCACCTTTAAGAATCTTGAATCTGCTTAGGCTTTTTTGACTTCAACTTGAAAAACAGAACGATGCCCGCAATGGTTGCATACGTGGCGAGGACGCACTGTAAAACAAGTATACCAACCAGCTCAGACACTGCATACTGTAGTAAAACAAGCATACAATTTGTACACAGAAACAGCCATATACAAAACATGCCACAAACATATACTTACATTGCGTCTGCCGATCAGGGTGTAAGCATTAAAATATTTCTGGATGCCTTTGAACTGGTACTGCACACTCGAGTCGTGACCGGCCATGGCGACACCTGGGGGAGGCCCGAGGAAGAAAAGACGCAGACAAGACAAGACCCATGGACAGCGACTTTTAGTACACAATTACAGCCCTGGTGGAGTGCATTCCAGTAGTACAGCATGTTCCTCCGACCAAACAGACATTTTAATTTTCATTCCTCAAGATCGAGCCGAGTCTTAAAAACCTGTTCTAACAATTTGGTTTCGCATAACTACCTGTCAACTATGTTCTTTGTTAGAATTCGTGCATAATTACAACAATTAAAAATAAACGGCACATTTGGGAGCACCACTTGGGAGAGTAGTGAATAGTTCATTTTATTGCAAGATTCATTCCACACGACCTGCCGTGTTATACGAAAACAGAATGTAAACTTGAAATCACGTAGGGCGAGAAATTAAACTTGGTGCTGTGTAATATCACTGCCCCAGGTTTATATAAAAACAGGATATACTTTTTTTTAAAGTTGCCAAAGGATGCTGCTCTTCCATATTGAACATTGTCCTCGGCAAGGGAAACCGAGGAGCAAATGCTCCTATGGCCTTTGCTGAAGGCGCGAGGTGGTACGAATTTCCGTTGACAGGGATTCAGCGGCAATATATACACAGTAGGTCTGGATGACAATGGGCAATAACCGTAATAATCTGCTCATTTCCTAACAAAAGATAACTTTAAAGGTCACCACAGCCAATGGCTCACAAAATAAGCCCATTGTTAATATCAGAATGGCTATGTAATTCACTTAAAAGTTTAGAATTGTGCAACTCAAATGTCATCAATCATCGAAAGCCTATGGAATCGTTCACACTTCCACGGACTTTTCATTCCAACGAGGCTCAAACATCTCTCTCTACACCTCCATAATTCTCCAAGGGGCTAAAGACATACAAGTTAAAAACACTGTAGTTCCCCCGCCTTTCAGTGACAGCGAAAACCATACCAATTTGAATCGTCACTTATTGACACGACCACCCCATGGCAAAAATCTGATTTCAAAAGTAAAAAAGAATCGAGACTGGACAGTTCTCTAACGTATGACCACCGCGCACTCCTTTAAAAGGTTGACCGTCATAGGCCACTGCGGGGTGGACATGCAGAAAACAACCACTGCCCTACTCTACGCTCACAGGTCTATGCCGTCAGCCTTCTAAAGCATAGTGGAATAAACCCCCGCGACTCGCGGGGAGAGGTCCTCAGTGCCAGCAGTGGATTTAACGCACGGACTGTACACGTGCACTGGATAGCGGCTACGACCCTGTCAGATCAGAGCAGAGCCACCTCAGTACAACGCAATTCCACACACACACACCAAAAAAAAATCCCACTTAAAACGCGTGCAATCGTGACACGTAAAAAAAACTACTTACGAAATCACACGTAGCCGATGTTAACAAAAAATTAAAACCCGCAACGCTGTTTATTACATCACCATTACTTAACGCCGACTCGGTGACACAAGGCGCAATCGGAGCAAGGCCCGACCGAGTCCGACGCTGAAGGTTAACACGGGCGCGCTCGCGCAACGCCGTGCGACTCGCGGCGTCTCTCGTCCCAGCGCCGCCTTGCAACACACCACTCTAGTTGCGAGCCACGGAGGGTGACGTTGCTTCCATTGCGAGCTTCGAGTCGCCTTACCGTGAGCTGCGAGGACGATGAGGAAGGTGGTGGAGGTGGAGACGGCGGCGGTCGATGTCCTTCTGCTGCTGCTGCCTCTGTACCAGGCGACTCCGATGCTGACGTCTCTGGTCAACCCCCCCGGCGGCGCGGTTTTATTGGCTGCTCGCCGGTCACGTGACGGCAAATATTGGGCCAATCGCGCGAGCCGATCGGGCGGTGGCGGCGGCGACGGGTGCCCGCGAGGTGGCACACGGAAAACGCGATTCGCAAAAAAAATAGCAAAAACTGTAACGCGTGATAAAGGTTTATTTTGGAGGGGGTTTAAACTGCGTAAATATATGAGTGTGTCGTTAAATACGCCACCACCCGACAGTCAATGTGTACGGTTTGTCACGTAAACAAACGTGCCACTTTAGTAAAAAAAAAACTACATCTGCGCACTTGCGTGTTGGAGAGTAAACCCCACGACATTTATTACAATTTGAGTACCGCGCCGATTTAGACCCGCAAGAAGGGGCGATGCTTTTACGGATGAAAGTTTGTCTACCACCGTGGTGTAACGATTGGTCTGTCATCGTAATCTATGCATCACTTATGGAATCGTACCTGTGAGAATATCGCACACCTATGAAACCGCGTTCATGCTGAACAAAAGACCTTAAAACCCAATGAGTACTTTTATGCAGTCACGAAAGCTTTTTATTACCTTATCACCTTAAAACCTTAAAACCCATTGTCCATTCCGTACCTCGGCCCATGACCCCAGAGCAGCTGTCTCACGTGTCGGTTACTTACCTGTGGTGGCGTTGCTTTCGTGGTTCTGATGTCTTTATGTGGTCCCACAATAGTGCATTTTGTGATATCCATTTGGTATTTATGTTATATTTAAAAAAAAAATTGAAGCCCTTATCGGTATAAAAAAATACATTGGCACTACTAAGGTAGCAATTTATTTCGATTTAAAGCTTTCGTGACTGCAAGGATTCATCTTCTTTGGTTCTTTCGGTAAAGTCACGTAGAATGAGAATAAAATAATAAAATAACACAACATTTTCACGACGTTTCGGCCACAACACAAGTGGCCTTCATCAGGTGAAGGGACGAGACTGGAGGACAGCGCTGTCCTCCAGACAGTCTCGTCCCCTTCACCTGACAGTCTAGTCCCTTCACCTGATGAAGGCCACTTGTGTTGTGGCCGAAACGTCGTGAGAATTTTATTGTGTTATTTTATTAATTTATTATTTTATTCTCATTCTACGTGACTTTACCGAAAGAACCAAAGAAGATGTACCAATTTATGCTCTGGTCCATTGACTTCTGAGTCGTAGTCTCCAAATGTCCTGGATTCGTCTCGCCACCAGTTTTCATTGTCCTCGGCTTATTTTGCTTTGTCTATGCATCCACTTTGTAGTTAATGTGTCACTGCTGCAGTTCATCAAATTTTAAAATGCATCTAAATCTCCCTTTGTCAATTTTCTGTTACAATATAAAGTTATATGTATTTGTTATATTGTAACATATAAAGTTATATTGTAACAAAAAATTAACAAAGGAAGATTTAAATGCATGAAAAAAATGTATTAACTGCAGCATTGACACTTTATTACAGACCAATTCAGGGACATTATTGGTCACCCCGTGCTCTTATAAATCTCAACGTCAATTTAGATGCATGTAATTTTTTTATTAACTGCAGCATTGACACATCAACTACACTTTATTACAGACCAATTCAGAGACATTGTTGGTCACCCCGTGCTCTTATAAATCTCAACATCATCCTACAAGGCACGTTTTGAAACCGCTGTACGCCGTATGGACCTGAAAACTCAATTTCTCTGTACAAGAATACGGGAAAACCGTATGGGTTGACAGGTATGGATTTGGAATGTTGAAAGGCAACCTTTTTTTTACTATTCATGTTTTGCTAATCTCCATATATATAAAAGGCAAAGTTGTGAATATGTGTGTCTGTTCAAAATGTTTAGCCTACTTCCCGACATGCAACAAACTGGAAATTTGCCATGTGGGTACTTTGCAGACTGTACACCATGCAAAAATTATAAAAATAACTTTCTTTTTTGCACGGCAAGTGAGCTGTGACGTCAAATATGTCACGTGACCCGCGCATGTGGAAGCGTAACGCATTGTAGTGTAGTGGTTAGCGCGCTGTGTGTGTGTCTGTGTGTGTATGTGTCTGTCTGTGTGTGTGTCAGTGTGCGTGTGTCTGTGTTGAGGGAGCGATAGTGTAGCAGTTAGCGCGTTGCGCTATGAACCTGACGATTATCTGAACCGGTCCCGGGCCTCCCCTAGGTCGACTCAGCCTCAAATGAGTACCTGGTGCGGTGTGTAAACATTGCCACTAGGGAGACAAAGGCGGTCGGGCGTGGTGCTGGCCACCCACCCCCTCGTGTACCGTTCCGGCCTTCATAGGTGCTCGCTAACAACACTTGCCCCTTCAGTCTGTTAAGGCTATATGGGGGATCTTTGTTTGTGTGTCTGTGTGTGTGTCTGTGTGTGGAAGCGTAACGCATTGTAGGGTAGTGGTTAGCACGCTGTGTGTGTGTCTGTGTGTGTGTGGAAGCGTAACGCATTGTAGTGTAGTGGTTAGCGCGCTGCGCTACGAACCCGGCGACTCGAGTTCGATTCCCGCTCACGGCCACCACCGGTGACGATTATTTTAACCGGTCCTGGGCCTCCCCTAGGTCGACTCAGCCTCAAACAATTAACTGGTGTGGTGTCTGAACATCGCCACTGGGGGGACAAAGGCGTTCCGGCGTGGTGAATCCAAGTCCCGGGCGAAGCCGGGTAGTTAAGCTAGTAAACTAATAAAAAGGTGTATATTTGCCCATGTGACAAAATTGGCTGTCGGTTGGAGGGTTATAGTTAATACAAAATAGCATGTGTTAAACTGAAAATGGCATGATACCTACACGATCTCACCTAAAAGAAACGAATTATGAACCATATGGGTCATGAAATCCTGCATATAAATTTTAATTTTTACAACTCTCAGCCATTTAAACAAAACACGTGCAAGCGGAAATAAAATATAGCAGCATCGTGGTTTGTAGTCACTGGTCGCTGTGTTGAGACTTCAGTGCAACTCGCCACACTTGAAAATCCGGTTTGACCACGGGGCAAATGTGTTCCATAAGATTGCAAATGACAAGATAGTGAACCCTTTGCGGTTGTGAATGACACGTAACATAGTAATTTAGTTTGAAAGTAATGGTTGGAGCGCTTATTGCCGAACAATAATACATTTTATTCATACAGTACTCTATTCCACAATTTAGTTAATGTAACACATCTTAACCCTGAACAATTGCGCTGCAATTGTCATAGAGTGGTTAATCCAAGGCGCTATGAACCCGGCTGAGTTCGATTCCCGGCCAAAGCGAGTGATATCTGAAAAGTTCCTGGACCCTACTGCACTAACCCACAGGCACTAGCTGAACTATGGTCAAATAACTATTTGGGGCCGCCTTCGTCAGCCAATGGATTTACAAAAATATAAAAACTGTACAACAAATCCACAAAAATTGATAACATGTTCGTTAACCTCCCTCTCAAAGAGGGGGATAAGAATAATGAAACTAACCAGGTTAGGTAGATCCTATTTTATGGTTCTTTCAGTAAAGTCACGTAGATAGAAAAATAGTAACAATAAAATATATCACGTTTCGATCTCAACACAAGCAATCGTCATCAGGTGAAAACAAATCTAGCGGGAGACCTGCCTAAACTACCCGCTATATTTTTAAAAATTATTTTTCTGTCTACGTGGCTTTACCGAAAGACCCGTAGAAAATGAATTCCTGCAGTCAGGAAAACTTTAACTCAAGCGGTCGCTTATTTTTTTTTAATCTACGTGACTTTACCGAAAGAACCATAGAACGTGAATTCCTGCAGTCACGAAAGCATTAAGTCAACATTTAGGTCGACCTTTTTAATATCATTCCACAAAGCTGCAAATGGAAACCGAGATCCTTCCGGATTGAGTCAGACGGGTAATGTGCCATTGCGTAACAAGAGTAAGGGGAGACACATCTCACGCAGCTCGCGAGATTGACCCATTCATCATGTTCAATGACCAGGAAGGATCTAATTTTACTGGCGGACACGTCATTTACTTGTATGAAACCTCATTCCATTTACGCTATTGGCCTCTTCTATATATGTTTTTTTAAAGAGGAAAGAAATTGTTGTTATAAATATACGTATTTGTATATACACCTTTACATAAGCTAATAATCCACTCATTCGTAGAGACAACTGTATCTCCTTATTTATCATAGAGAAAATATCGTAACATTTTAACATTGTCTCGCAAAGGTCTATGGGAGCCGAATGTTTATTGTGACAATCTCAGTAACGCCACTGGAGGGCGCCAGCGCCACATTCTGGAGTTGTAACACTTGGCATCAACGATTTAAGTGTGGAAAAATACATTAACATAATTTTGTGTAGTTGACTTAATCTACGTAAATTCAAGTAATCCTGATTTTGCACATGCAAGCCAGGGTCTACACGAAATAGACTTTTATTCCCTGCATAAAAATTACCAAATTCAAAATTGGATTACGTAGGCATTAGAGGCGCTACCAATCACTGCAATGCTATAATAGACCATCTCTATTCGTGAATTACATTTTGACCTCGAATCATGACAATTCATTACATTGTAGGGGACTGTGTGCATCGTACCACCCCTAACTTAAGATAAATGTACAGTCCTTTGTCAATCCACTGCAAGCTGCAAGCCTCTCCATGCAGTATCGGTCAGGGGATTGTTCGATCTTACTAGGGAGGATTGAGGGGGTCAAAATTGTTCAGCTATCACTCGCCACTGATGTTAGCTGTGGCTGGGGATCCAACTAAGGTGGCCGGGTCCACAGCGCAGTGATTGCATCATGTACCACAGCTCCGAGAATGCACGTGTACAGGGTGGTCCAGATGTCTTGCGATCCCCATTTAATTATGTAAAACCTAAAAAAAAATTACAGTAAGATTAATTAACAAGACAAATGAATATTCCAAAGAGAAAAAAAACGTTCGGGGGTCAATAAATTGGGGGGTCACAAGAGATCTGGACCACCATGTAACGTGATTTTGCACGAAGAGTGTTCCACGTGGAACACGTGACACC